CAGCCAGTTGGAGATTTTTTTTTTTGCAGAAGTTTGGCCTCAAATCTGGCAGGAAGGGGTGGGGAGAGGGGTGGAGGAGAGCAATTTTACCTGGGGTTATCACGCCAGGCAGTTAATGTTTCTTTGCTCAGCTCTTGCACCCAAAACATTTACTTATATAGCCCTGTTCAAAGTGCCTCTCTCATCCTGCCATAGCTCTTAACAAGGGCTCTAAACCTCCGAGCTGGTGCCATAAATGACCATGGTTTCTTCTCTCCATTTGGTAATCCCCCGTAGATCATTGAGAAGCGGCGCCGGGACCGTATCAACAGCAGCCTCTCGGAACTGCGGCGCTTGGTGCCCACCGCCTTCGAGAAGCAGGTGTGTGTGTGTGTCCGTGACTTCCCCCCGTCCTCCCACGTGGGCTGCGTTTCAGCAGCGTCAGGGTAGAGCCCTCAGAATGAGAAAGTCTGGAGCTATGCTGCGTCTTTCTTATCATCATCACTTCAGGGAGTAAGTAGGTGGTGAAACTGGGTGGTAGAACAATATTAACAAATATTCTGGAGCCCTAGGGAGGAGAAACACAATCCGGAAAGTGTTTAGCAGATATGAAGATGCACAGAAATGGGGATTTTCAATTTGCATCGGGGATCTTGGGAAGGAGCTCCATTTTCTACTTGCTTGGTGTAAAAACCAGAGCCAACACCCAGATCTGGGCATCTGAGTGCTCCTGGGCTTCGGGAAGGTTTCCGGGAGGAGGTCACTGAGCAAAACCCAGTTCCTGAGAGGCACAAGCCCCTAGACCATGAAATGATGGATTGCTCTTTTTTTCCTGCTCCCAACACACAGGGGTCTTCCAAGCTGGAGAAGGCAGAAATTCTCCAAATGACAGTAGATCACTTAAAAATGCTTCACGCCACTGGAGGAACAGGTAAGAACTGGTCTTATAAGCATATGGGTGAGGCGAAGGTGAAAAACTGGAAGGAGAATTCCCCATCAGATTCAGCAGCAAGTGATATCTCAGTGCTGGTGTGCCTTGCTGACACCAGCCAGCACCAAAACAGATGCTGCCCTGCCTGCTTCCCAAGGGAAAGATTTTTCGAGGGAGGGCAGATGGACATTTCCTGCCCCATTGTTTTTCTTACATCTAACATATGGGTCAGCATCCCATACATACATTTGGGAGACTGGGGTATATGGGATAGCAGGTCCCAAAGACCCCCAGGGACTGCACCGCTGCTGCTGTCACGCTCCCTGCTAAAAGCTGCCCAGCCAGGGACATGATTAGTCCTGCTCAGAAAGGGAGCCTGCTTCCAGAAAAACAATATTAAACTCTTTACCTCCTCCCTGGGATACATTTCCTGCAGAGGCTGAATTCTGCATGGGGACTCTGCAAATAAACAAGGCTTTTTTCCCTTTCTGTTCTTTTTTTGTTGTTGTTGTTTCTTGATTGTTATAAGAAGAGAGAGGGAGCCCTGTTGCAAAATTCAACAAAGGTCTTATTTGTACTGAGACCTCAGTACAGACCCTCTGTCCTGTTCCAGTTAACAGGATGGAAATCACAGCTCCAGTAAAGAAGCCTCTGGCTTGCTTACCACCCATTTTTGGCTTGCTGGGGACATTGCTGGCATCCAGACTTTGGTTCAGAGCTGTAACTTGGTCTGGAACATTTGTTTAGATATTCAGTTTGACTGCACTGCAACAAAGGGCTGTATTGTCAAGAGACCCCGGCAAGCAGAGTGGTCCAGCGCTTCGCTGTGCTGTGACCTTCTCTGCTTTACTGCTTATCAGCTCATGGAGCTGCAAGTAGGGAGCAGAAGCTAAAAATCAGCCGTTGGTTGGATTTTATCTTGTTGATTTTTGCAGCTTTGAGTTTTCTCAGCCCAGCGGTCTTGGTTCTGCCACTGTCCTGCGTCCCTCAGACAGATATCTGTTTAATGAAGTTTAAAGATCAGGATGCAGGCACAGGAAAACGGCGCTAAGCTATGCATCGAGGAGACACAGTGTCCCCCTGTTCTGGTCCATTTGCAAAGAGGGACCCAGTGCCCATCCAGCCCACAGTCATGTCTCCAGCAGCGATAACTGATAGAGTCCAAGAGGAAAAATTTCTTGAGCACAGTTAATGAAACCTCTTACTCATCTCACATGCTGGAGTAAGAGGCTTCATGACCCTGGCAGTTTTATCCCGATGAGATAACCACAGATGCTATTCTCATGCACACAAACGTCCAGTCCTTTCGGACACCCACTTGGCTATCCGCTTCAGTAATATCACCCGGCAGCAAAGTGCCTCAAGTGAAATACACAGTGCGTTAGAGAGGGTAGTGAAATCAAAGCACATTCCTGAGCTCTGCATGGACTTACTGTCACCCCTGTCCTGTCCCCACAGGCTTCTTAAACGCTCGAGCTCTGGCCGTGGATTACAGGAGTATCGGCTTCCGCGAATGCCTCACTGAAGTTGTCAGGTACCTGGGCATCCTCGAGGGCCAAAATGCCGCTGACCCCATCCGGCTGCGACTCCTTTCCCACCTGAATAATTATGTGGCCGAAATGGAGCCCTCACCTGTGGCCACGTCCCTCCTGCCCATCCAGACGTGGCCGTGGTCCTTCCTCCACAGCGCTGCTGGCCCCGTGCAGATCCCCAGGAGGGAGGCTGCTCCCGCTCCGGTTGTTTTGACTGCATCTTCCCTGGC